GCCCCGCCTTCCAGCAAGTCTGCTTCTGGGAACAGGCCCGATGGGAGGGCGGCGGGAGGCCCCCGGCGCTGGCGAGGGCTGGGGCAGCCCCAGCCTCGGACCACGGGAGGCCGTCAGAGAGGCCAGCGAGGGAGCAGCGGCCTCGGCCTTCAGCTCGGGGCACCGGCAGGACCCCAGGTGTGGGGCCCCGGCCGCCTGCCGCTTGGGGTAAAGGCTCAGACAAGTGGGGTCCAGCCCTGCTCCGCCCTCACCCCGCCCCTGCTCCACCTCCTGGTGCAGAATCCGGGGGGCGCCTTGGTCTTCCTCCCCGTCAGGCACTGCATCCACCCCGGGCCGTGGCCGCCGGTGGCCGGGTCCCTGCTTCAGGCGACGCCTGGGCAGGGCTCCCACCTCCCACCAGGCTGGGACCACGTCGGGCTGTCAGGCCCTGCTGACCGTGGCCCCGGGCACTCTGGAGGGCCGGGGATGCTCCTGCCCGCTCCGGCTGCAGGCTGGGCTGGCCGGGACTCTGCTATCTCTGCGGTCTGCTGCCCGCGGCTTGGCGCCCTCCCCAGACACCGCCAGCAGCAGCCTGGGGCCAGCGACCTGCCCTGGGCCCGCCGAGCAGGCGCCGAGGGGCAGCAGTCGGGCACCGGGTGAGGGGCGTCAGCCGAGGGCATGGCGCCCGGGAGCTCTGCTGGCCGAGCCGTGACATCGTGGCCCCGGAGCGTGAGCTGGCCTCGGGGGTGACCGCCTTTCCTGGGCCCCAAGGCGCACGGGCGGCCCGGCGCTGACCTGCGCTGACCTCTGCGGGCACAGAGGGCCTGCAGGACGCACACCGGGGCCACAGCCTGCGGGAGACCCCCCAGAGAGCACCCTGGGAGGATGAGGCGCTGGGCCAGGCTGGCCAGTGGCCAGCAGTGGACACCAGGTGGAGTAGCCTGAGGCACAGACCACGCAGCTCCCCACAGCACTCTGGGCTGCGCCCAGGGCGAGCCCTGCAGCGCTCAGGCCCCCTCCACCCCTGAAAGTTGTGGGTCAAGGGACCCCCCATCTGCCTCCGCTGCGGTTCCCAGAAACTTTCAGGCCATGACGGGGCCCCAGCCCGAGGGCTCCCAGCGCATGGGGCGCCCACCGAGACTGGGGAAGTCTGCCACACCCTGGACGTCGCCAGAACCTTCACCCCAAGCTGCCGCTCCAAGCGGCCCACCCTAAGCCTGCCAAGCCCCGCAGCCCGCCCCGGAGGCCCTGGGCCCAGCGGGGGCCTCCACTCCCCACACGGGCCGGGGGCGGGGGCACCCTGGGTCCCGGGCCCTCCCCAGCCCTGCCTGCGAGCTCAGTGTGGGCCCCACGCTTCCCGCGGGTGAGCCAAACCCCGCCGGACAGCAGGCACCAGGCCCCGCCCTGGGGTGCCCCCCCGGCGCTCCCCCCATCCGAGGAGCAGGCCCGTGAGGGCAGACGGGCGGGCGCCAGAAGCCCTGCCCGCCCAGCCTGGGCCCGTGCCCGTCGGGCCCAGGGGAGCAGCTCGGGGCACCCCCGCCTGTTGCCACTTCCCGTCTGGGGAGCTCCGCAGGGCGCTGCCCTGCACCCCTGCTCGCGGATGGAGACGCCTCGCGGGCCCTGGGGCAGGCCCCAGCCCCGACGGGCGCCAGGGCCGGGGCCAGGAGGACTCACCCAGGCAGGTCCTGCCGTCCGCGTGCAGCCGGAAGCCGGGTTGGCACCGGCACAGGTAGGAGCCGGGCGTGTTCACGCAGCTGTGCTGGCAGCCGCCGTTGTGCGTCTGACACTCGTCCACATCTGCGGGGACACAGGCCGGGGCTGAGGGCGGCACCCCTGGACCGGGACCGGACGCGCCCTCCATCCCAGGCCCCTCCGCGCCCGGCCCCTGGCCGGCCGAGCCCCGCCTCAGGAGGGAGCGCAGCCCCAGGGCCAGGCGTGGGGGGCAGCGACACTGGCCCTGGGGCCCCCCAGAGTCCACCCAGGGCCCCCCAGTGCCCTCCCAGGGCCCACCTAGGCCCCCCAACATCCTCCCAGCGTCCACCCAGGGCCCCCAGCACCTCCCAGGGTCCACCCAGGGCCCACCAGCGCCCTCCCAGGGTCCACCCAGGGCCCCCCAGCGTCCACCCAGGACAGGCCAGTCCAGCAGCTGAGTCCTCCAGTGGGGGCCGCCACGCCTGCTCCCAGCCCTTCCAGCCGGGTGGGGCGGCCGTGGGAGACGGGGTCTGTGGCGTCGGCACGGTGGGGCCACGAAGCCCAGCACCGGCTGTCAGCCAGCCGCAGGTGGACTCGGCGGCAGGCCAGGCCTGCCCAGTGGCTCCTGCTGGGGTCTGCTCAGCCCGAGGTCTAGGCCCCAGGGCCAGGGAGCGTCCAGGCACAGACCCCTGGGCCAGGGGGAGGCACTCGGGGCCTGCGGGCGTGG